TGAAGTTGATCAAGGGAAAAGATTTGTTAACAAGTAAGTATATTTTACAAGTTGGCACTTTTATTGAATCAGAGCATAAGCTTTCTCTACTTGAAAGAAGCTCCTTTTATAACATTCCTTTGACTATACTAATTACATTTTTCATATTATAGATTTATAACAATAGAAATAAAAACATCGGTCCAATTATTCACAAGAAAATATTCACTCGCAATTATCAACTTTAAATTATCAGCCGGAAGTTATCAGCTCGATAATGTAAACAATTATCCAAACACGTAAATGTAAAATAGTCTACAAAGGGGTTTCCTAAAAAGGAACATAATGTACATGTACATGTACATGTATTAACGTTAAGTGCTAAGGTTAACGATAATAAACGATTATCGTATAACGATAATCATGTGAGATGGGGATCGGGATGATTCGTAATAAATAATAACATAAATTATGGAATTAGAGAATTTCGTGTTGCTACGGCAACAACATCTACGCATCTTTTGCGCAAATAGTTCGTTTTTGTTGTAAGATCCTATGAAAATCTGTAAGTATATTCATCTAGGCTGCCCTTAATAGAGTCAAAGCTCGACATAATGATATTATCGATGTACCTGAAATACCATCTGAATATAATATTAATACTATGGCTTACAAAAATTTCGTTATATATGCAGTGAGATTTTAACCCTAGTCGAAATTGAAAAAACAACCACATTTGGCAACCATTCGTCGGTTAAATAGCGCAAGTCGCTGCCACTCGGGTAACCATTCAGTGGTTGCCAAATGTTTGCCGAATAATTGCTGAATGGTTTAATTTCGATTAGTGATTAAACATCAAATGATCGTTAAAACTTACATATAAATATGATTTCGAAAATTATGGTAAATAACATATGAAGTCATCAAATGTTTATTCTTATAATATGCATAAACTTCTCAACTAAAAAATAAATTCAAAATTTAATCCGTAAGTATGGTCATTCTACCATATTTACGGATTAAATTTTGAATTTATTTTTTAGTTGAGAAGTTTATGCATATATAAAATAAACTTTACACTTTATCATAACTTGAATAGTTTGTTTTTATCTAGTCAGTCCAGTGCAAGTACGTAATATTGCTAAAAATGAATTGCCTGTATAATAATATTCCTTTATGCTGACGCTTTCAATAATAAACGGAGTTTATACAAAAAGGCTTCTAAATACAAAAGATTCTATAAACAAAAAAGTTAATTCACTAAGTAAATGTACATGTATATGTATTATACTAAATAAATTGTTTAATACGTACATTAGTAAAATGTGGGCCATAACGATAATATGAACGCATATTTACGATGAACAAATTTTCAAGTCAAAAACTCAATATAAAAGTACATGTAGTTGTTTCATACATCTAATAGCCTATTATAGTAAACTATTTACTTAAATTATTTCATTTAGTAAGACATACCGATGTAGTACTTCATTACCCATGTGCATAGATAGAAAAGAGTTGATATCGGTGAACCGGAATTCCGGATTTCCTAGTGGTTTTATGTGGTTTTCTGAACCTACTAGGAAACCACTGGGAAATCTGTAATTCCTCTAGAGGTTCACCAAAAAACAACCATTTTCTATCTGTGCAGAATTTACCTTGATAATTGTTCAAAGACAATTATTTTATTGATTCTATTTCAACTACACATTATATAGTGTGACAGAAAGTACGCGCATGTATTTTAATTGCACAACGAACGGTGGGTTTTCGAAATAGTAATATGATAACGTGAGATGATATGATACGGATAGTTGTGTGTACTGTATATTCAAAGAGAATTATTATACACGTCGCTGCTGTTGATAAACCGGACCGGGACTGGTTTAATAGGAATGATGTGTAATAAATTTAATTGTAACTCAAAAACATGGTCATACTTTTTATATTTTATAAATTTGCATAAAAATTGATTATAAATTCCGTTGCTTAAGTATTTTAAACAAAGTTACAATACAATGGCGATAAAATAGAAAAAGACTTTACTAAATACAAATATCTACAATAAGAACCGGCGCGGTATAACTCTCCAACACAACATTTTCCCGAAGTCATATGCTCGACAACCCATTTTCACCGACCACCCCCGACATGACATTTTCCTGATTGTAATTGTACTTTAGATAAACTTTATATAATCCTAACTAACCTTAAAATTAACGTTAATTACATACAAAATCGAGCAGTCAATGTTATGATATCCCATCATTTCAGGAAAACGTCTTCTCGGTTAATTTTCTTTTCGGAGAAACATACTGTCGGATAAATGTCCCTTCGAGGAAACGTCATGTCAGGCAAATCTCCATTTGGGGAAATGGGACGTCGGGCAAATGGGGTCGGGTAACTTTACTGTCGGGGTAATGGGTGTCGGATAATCACATCAGGACAATCTATAGCTCTCAATAGATATTGATATTTCATATAAACTTTTGTTTAGCATTAAATATAAAGAAAATCTCTTAAATATTCAAAAATACAGTGATAAGAATTTTTAAATTTTTTATGGTAGTTGAATAAATCTGTTTTAAAAAGATATGGAAAAGATTTTTCGTGGAATTTCTCTATCAATAATAAGAAGATATTTTTCTAACTCAAATGACTCAACCAGTTCTGCCGCTAGTTCATGAACGTTCTCGTGGACCTTTTTAATATCATATCGAGATATTTTGGAATTCCAAAGCCATCTTGATAACATTCTGCTAATTTGAATTGAGCATATTTAAAATCAGATTCTGCGGATTTACATACATTCAAATGCTTTCTATTTATTCAATTTCCTTGTGAACATCTTTCTTATATCAAGAGCCAGTTGTATTTAGGTAATCATCGAGTCAGTACCAGATATTTTTTAATCAGAAGCTCTATCAATAAAGATTTTCTGTTATTTTTGAAAATATCTTTTTTCATTGTAATAAGACAAGTCATATTTAGTAAATGCTATAACTTAATAAGCAGAAATTTTAATGTAAAATTTCCTTCCATGAATATGCAACATGAGGAATTTTAACAGAACATAATAATAAATAAATAATTGAACAACAAATAGAAATAAAAAAAAGCTATCAAGGAACATAAATTTCGAAATGAATAAAGAATAAACTCATAAAACTAAATGCAGCACTTAGAAACTAAAAAATAAGTTAATATTTCTTGTTTTTGATTTCTTTAATTTTGATTTCTGTTATATACAGTATACTTAATTGAGAGAAATAAATGAATAAGTAATCTGAATGCATAAAAAGTAAGGTTTGTAAATTTCATAGCTTGGAATGGTATAAACTGCATGTACTATAAAAAAACCCAAAACGTGAAATAAAAATTAAAATTGATAATAAACTAAGCAAATTTGTCAAATAACAAATCGTTGAAGATAATTTTTGACAAATCTCCAGCCGAAAATGTAGAATCGTAATTAAGATATTCGGGGCTGAATGGAGATTGTGGTGGTGGTGAAAAATTTAACGAGGTATTTAGAACGATTGAAGGTTCTGTGGTAGTGGTTAGGGTATTTGTAGTTGTGATAATTGTAAATGAATTTAGTAGTGAAGGGTTCAAATTATTGTTTATATTAGTAATAGGATTATTATCATTGATGTTAGATTCAAAAGATTCTTTTGGGTCCGCAAAAACGAATTTGTCTATCGGAATTGTATCAATACTATTAGTTTTAACGAATAAATAATTATGTTCACCACAATTCAATGGGTTATGGGTTTGAGAAACATCTAAATCACCCAATGAGAGAATCTCGTTAAATGTATCAGAAGAGTCGAAAGTAAGATCACGATCATTGTTGTTTGTGGTAATTCCAAGTCCATCAAAGAAATTATTGTAGTCGGAATTCAATCCATTTGAAGATGAAAGTGAAGATAAAGATGCTACTGATGTATCAAAATTTACGGATAAATCTTTTGGTATAGTTATTGGATCTTGAGTAAGAGAAGATGCAGTTATAAAGGGCATAAGTCCATGTCTGGCAAACGACATGTCAATCGAAGTACATTGAGGTGATTGCGGTAAACTGAAATCAAAAAAAGTTCTAGACTCGGCCAAGTCCATTGTGGTCGAATTAGAAGAAGAAGATGGCGAAACATCGATAGAAGAAGGATTCGAGACTGCACAATTGTCGTTGTAATTGTCAATATTATAAAACTCATCGTTATCTTCACGAGATACATTTTTTGGACTATATTTATAATTGGGATACATGAATTTATGTTTCTTAAAAGCGATTCTTTGTAGCAGATCAAAGTATTTCTTGACTTCACTAGGCTGCAATCTCCATTCAGCACCGCATTTTTTAGAAATATCCTGGAATTTATAAGTGGCATTTGGATTAAGTAGACGCAGTTTTGCTTCGAAGTCTTTACGGAAGATGATGAATTTGTTTTGTTGTCGAGGACTATTCAAATCTTTTTTATTTTTACGCGTTCTTTTGGCGGGTGCAAGAAGCTTATCTATAGATAGGTGTAATTTATATGGAGGATCGCGTAGCATTTTTTTGTCGTATTCAGACATGGTGCTGATTATGTGTTCGATAATTGTTTGTTGCACTGAAGTCGTAATAATCGATGTTGTCGCCATTGTAGTAGTTGTAGTCTCAAACGTGAAAACTGTAAGAATCGGAAGTGATTAATGGACCACGGTAGCAGTGTTTTTTATTTGATTTTCTATTAATCGAAATTTTATTTATAGAATTATATTTAAGAAAAGAAATTGAGATTATTTTATCCATAAAACATTAGATTTTTATAGTTTCCTGGCGACATAGAAGAATGATGCTACGACACATTGAACAATGGCAATTTTGGATAGACAGCATTCGGTTACATTACATGCATCAAATGAATACAACTAAAAATACTGTTTTCTGAATTTATTCAAAGTCCATTGATTAAAAAAATCCAGGCAACTTCCAAATACGTAAAAAAATTCAGAAGTTATCATCGATATCCAATTAAAAAAAGGGTTGGTTCTTTGCATATTGTTATGTATTGCCGATCATATTACGGAGTTTTTAAGTCTTGCTTGAAAAGGAAATGATATTACATGACTGGCGGTTTCGCATGAAATTTTCAGATAAACATAGCCACTGCCTACTACATGTATATACATGTAGTAAAGATCTTCGTCCGAAAAGATCTTCATCTATAAAGGCTACAATGGTAACACTTATTGAATTAATATTAGAGGCGAATATTGACATTACCGTTACAAGCTACTTTCTCGATATTTTTATCCAAGATAAGTTTTGGCATAAATTTTCGCATTTTTTTTCACTTCGTCAGGCTGGTTGGAACAAATCACGATTTAGTTAATACTATCCAGATTTAACAGTATTTCAATGCTGAAACAAAGTAAATGTGCAGGACAGGCTCAGGAAGCTATTATGAAAGTAACATTCTGCGAAAAGATATTGTGCATTGGCGTAACAACATTTTCTGACTTCTAGAAACACGAAAGTGCTTCTTCGTATCTCTATACTTGTCCACTAGCATCTCCAATCTCTGCTGATTCCAAATACCACTCGGCTGCTTTTTTCTCTTTTTTTGAATTCCTTTTCAAACTGAGAATACATTGTATTCAAGCATCTTCATCAACACATTACTGATATTTTCCTAATATTTATTTTTATAATAAATATATGTCCTGTATTTATTCTGTTCTTTTTCTTAATAAGATCATCATATTTTCTAATCAAACCTCTCTATCTTGGGAAAGCAAAATTTCAGCTAATTTCAAATGCCAATCAATTATTTCATTATTTTTTTTCAAATTGTTGACAATGAACAAAAAAATTTCAAAGGACTATTCTCTTTGGTATATATTATCTAATAAGTCTAGGCTCATTGAGCAATGCTATTTCATATTGATAACAAAAATTAACAAGTACAGTCAGAACTCGACTTAGCGACTACGATGACCAATTAAAAACTTAATTTAGCGAGGATGAATTTTGCCCAAAACATAATGTTATTGTTAAATTTCCTGTGATTTCCTTTGAATGGGAAAAAATTACCAATATATCGTTAAATCGAGTTCTGACTGTAATTCATCTTTACAAATAAATATAAATGACTTTTTCTATTGTTCGGGTCGAGCTGAGTGGGCCGAATATTTCACTTACTTAGAGCCGACAGACCATAAGGTCTACTGATAGTAATTGAATGAACCAATCATATCTGCGAAATATGATCAACATTCACGTGGAATGCAATCAACGTTCACTGATCATGAACTGAACTGAACTGGACTTTTGCCCGGGTTCAAGTCTGGTTTGAAATTCGAACTGGACTTTGGCTTGAGTATATTGATGTAATGATAACAAAGCACGGGATTAAAAGAACGAACATCAACAATGCGTGATAACGATAAGTGCTAAAACATTTGAATTGATGGGCGTTATGCAGTTTTGTATATCAATATACAGTATGTATGATCATTGTACGTACTGTTACCGTAGTAACAATAAATCCCTTAATTCCGCAATAATGCTCAACTAATTTCTACATGAAAATCTTACCATAAACACTTTGGCGATCCTAATTACATGTATTCCGTGCCGATCGTACTGTCAACCAGAATAGGAAATAATTCATTACGAATAATTTTCCATTTTCTTTCACCTTCACCGTCGCTTTAACAGATCAGTGATGATTATCTGGAAGAAGACGATTATCTATAGCAGAGAAACAATCAAACAACCAAACCTTAGAATTAGCGTAGTAATTGGTATAATATCCCATAATTAGTATAATAACCTGAAAACTGTATAAATAGAAGA